GGTGCAGGTGGTGGAGGTGGTGATGCTGGGGCCTCTTTCACCGGTACTGACGGTGGATTGGAAGGAGGCTTTGGGATTGACGGTTTTGCAGGAGTGGATGGTGGAGTGCGAAGTGGAGGACCCAAAAGGTCCTTGGGAATGTTGCCACGCTTAGGTGGAAGGTCTTCACGGCTGCGAGATATTGCACGGGCAACTGAACCACGTGGCGTCCCTTTTGCGGGAGCAGTGGAACCTGACGCAGCAGAACTGCCTTGCCCTTTGCCCTTACCGGCAACATCTCCTCGCACACTGGCATCCCGTTTATGGGAGTCTCCTTTGCCTGATACTTGTCCTTGAGCAGGAGGTGCATTCATACGGAATACCGACGAGGTATGCGTCCCTGTTACGGGAGCTGGCGGCTGAGGCACGCCTGGCGGTGGAGTCCGGTTGTCAACCCAAGTTGCAATACGACCAGATTGATCTCGGTCTTCTTTCCTCCTCCACTGCAGCCTCGGTCGTTTGTCTGCATCTCCAATAGTCTCCATATACATCTGCGATCGCTTCCGCGTCAACGGGGGCCTTGTTACAGGTCCTTGAGGAGATGGGGATCCACGCTGTCCAAACTCCAACAAAAGTTCTTCCAACCTTCTGACTTCGTCAGATGACATGTCCTGGCCACAATCGGCAAACTTGGGATAAGGCGTGGCCATGCGCTGTTCGATGTTCATGAAGCCCATCTGTGAAACTGGCTGTCCACGATCGCGTCCCTGCATATTTGCAGACTGTTGCGCGTTTCTCTGATATTGAATGTTTGCATAACTTTCATTCTGCTCTGCAAACTCACTCAAAATCTTGTAAATGCCTGTCGTGTCTCCACGAGGAATACGAATTGAATGAATATCGCCATAGACGTCCGTCGTGGGGATAAAGCCCTGGATCTTGATCTCATCTCGGCTATCGCCAATTACGGCGGCGTATTGTCGGAGTGACATAAACTCTCGGCGATAACTGATCAGAAAGTCCTCGTCGACGCCTTGCTTGAAACAGGTATGTAGGTTGTCAACACCGCATCGAATATACGCGAGCTTGGCGAGGTCAACCCTGTCCAGTCGATCCAAATCACTGACAACCGACTTCCCTTTTGATCTCTGCTTCGCTGATCTCGTGGGTGCCGGTAATTGCAGTGACGCAAACAAGTCTTCTTGCGCTGCATCAAACGCTGTGCATCCTTCTCCGGTTAAGGAGGTGGCGAAGACGTCGTCGCGGTTGAATCGATCGAATACATTCTCATACCCTGATTTCAATGCTTTGCGAAGGCGACTGCGAGCTGCAAGAATAATCTGACTGTCAACTGACGGGCTGCCACGAGCTGGAGGTCGTCCAGACTGTAGGTCCTGCGCGGCAATGCTGTCAAGCATGCTTGTTGCGGTCATGTTCTTGGGCACGCCCCCCTGCTCTTGTAGCACCTTTGCACGCCTCATCTGAAGTCGCATAAACTTTGAAATCGGTCCATCTGTTGTATTGCTCTGAAATACTACTCCGCATCGATGACAAGATGCCATTCCTGCTAAGGAAAGTGTCGTACATTTATCGCAGCTGAAAGTTCGAAGATGTAGAAAATATCCACTCTCGATCTGTGGTACAGCTGTATTGCGATTTGCCTCCATCTCTTCCTTCTTTGCGGCACTGCTGCTAGCTGTGCGTTCTTCGGGAGTGGCGTCGCTTGTACCTTCCAAAATGGTGCGTACTTCCGACACTTTTCCCGGGACCAATGTCACATCATCTTGCGGAACACCGATCTCAATGTTCGAAGGATCCAATGCCTGCGGCCTCGAATAGAAAACTTCTGGCTCCGCATTTGCGCGGGCTCGAGTTGCAAATAGAATACACGTATTCGGAACGTGATGGCTGGTAATCACCGCGCCAGAATTTGTGAGGAAAAGATCAACTCCTGCTTCAATCACATCCGGTGTTGAAAAACAAATCTCCACTGGTCGGTCAGCACGAACACCAGATATCGCCTTCTGGTTTCCCAGAGGTTGTGTTGAAAAGAAGGAATTGCCTTTGCTTTTCGGTCCACCGGCTCCACCGCCGGGAATGAGCCCGCTCGCAATAATGGATCGCGCAGCACCTTCATGCGTTCGGTGGTAAAGCCGAGGTGGTATATCGCGGTTCCCGTGCGCTGTCAAACGAGCATTGTACCTGTGTACATGGTCAGGACGGCAGTAGATTAGTACTGCTAGCACTTCATTTGATCGCGTCTCGAGAACGTCGTCAGTGTGGCCTTGTCCACATCGGATCTTGACGGGGGCGGCGAAAAGTTCGAGCTGCTCGTTCACACGAGAGTCGTACACGCATTGAAATTCGAAACGATCTTTGTTGTCATAAATAGCCATCGAAATCAACTCAAAAACATTCATAGAATCAGCATAATCAGGGAATTTGGCCTTCGCCAAATCTAGTAGTTTGTAAATTGGCAAATAACACGCCGGATCATAAATACTGACGTCTGGGACGTGTCCACGAAGAAGACCAGAAATACCGCGACGAACATGATGTGGCCAGGAGCAGCACCACTCCCAAGGCCCATGATGATAATCCTCATATACATAATAATACCTATGGCCAGTAACGTGGTACAGCACGTACTGCTTGGCGTCGCGGCCCAGCTCATCCTCGAGGAGTTGGATGTTGCCATTCCCGATGGCCTTGAGTAGGTGATCCGGGTAAGGATACCTTCCGAGAACCTCTTCAACCTCGACCTGCATATTTTTGTACTCGGGGTTAGGCTTGGTCTCGCGAACGAGAACGCCCTTCCCTTTTCCAGAAAATTTCAAGTCGGGGTTGTCGTTGTTCTCAGGTGCAAGAAAGCTCCCCGTTACGGGAGCGACCGAAGGGGTGCCTTGTCCCTGCCCTTTGCCTCGCAATCGCGGCAATGGTGGTCTCGGGTCAGATGAAGACGCTTGACCCTCTGCGGGTTGGTCCGCGTCCGTAGGGATCATAGGAACATCTCCGGTTGCACCTTCTTCAACAGTCGTTTCATCATCAGCCAAAACATCAAGAACCTCGGCCTCGATCTTCGCCATCTGTGGATCAGGTTCTGGTGCTGTCGGCAAGGCATTTACGCCTGCGATACCAGTATCAGGCCCAGGTACTTCGTCGGTTGCGCCTGTATAGCTATCGGGCATCTCAACGTCCGCGTCGGTTTCCTCAACCTTCGGCTCGACTTTTACGTCGGCTGTCGCAACGTCATCCATCGGCTCGTCCAATGCGGGCTGTTCCTCCGGTAGCTCAATAACAGGTACAACATTGACAAACTGCAACACATCTTGAGGATCTTCGCCTTCCAGGTTAACGGAGGCCTTGAGCTCTTCGACTGACACGTCATTCGTCTCAAAGGGGCTGTACGCTTGTACTTCCTCGACAGTAAACTGCCTGCTCTTCCCCAACGTCTGTTGCATTCGCGCGTTTCGCTGTTCAACAAATTCATTGATAAGTTGTAAATACGATTCCGGTATTTTGACCGTCGCTGAGGAATCCCAACTGTATTTAAATCTTCTCACCCTGTTGAGCGCGGCAATTCCCTCTCGGGAAGCTTCAACGACGTTCACATGGTACGACAATTTGACAATCGAGGTCACATAGTTCACGAAGCGATCGATGTTCTCCTGCGTCTTTCGCATATGCCATTGATCAACTTTATCGGATTGGTAAACCAGATTGTCAGGCTGGAATCGGTGTATGCCGAGACTCTCAATGATGTCGTTGATTTCTGCCCAGAAAATATCGACAAACGAAGGCAACTCAAAAAGATAAGAAGATATTCCACATATACAGCAGAGCTCGTCGGAGATCTCCTTGCATTCGGCTAACAGTTTAACGTTGCCAAGGATGCGCGCCTGCGTACCGAGTCTGTCGGGATTTGCAGCCTCATAGCGCCACGTAGAATCATTGGGCGTGATTCCGTTCCTGCCGACGAGGTCGTTGCCGTTCCACCAAATTAAACCAAAGATGCGCGGGGTATCCCTTGCGGGATCCCTCATGTTGAGCAAGGCCCTCGCATTTACGCGAGCAACAGCAGCCTTGTACTCTGCCATTAAACGAGGTAACTCAGCACCCCATACGATCTTGACCTCGATGAAGTCCCAGTCTCCGCCGAAAGCGACATTGAACTCTTGTAACGGCTCATAGGCTGTACGACTTCGCTTCCCGTTAAGGAAGCACAAAATAGAATCGGTGACGATGACCACGGCCTTCCGGCGTTGCGTTTCCGCAAGCACATTCAGGTGACCAAACGCAGACGGATGAATGGTTGTAAGGCCCATCATTGATTCCGTAAATATGTAGTCACGCACCCAACAATCGTACAACATGACTGGATATACTGCACGCAGCAGTTCCACCAATTGGTCGTGGTGCTGTTTCGAGCCCTCTTCGGTCAATAGCATACCTTGATAAACTGCGTATGCAATAAACTTTGTCCAACGCGACTCCGTTTCCGGAGAGTGGTTGACCGATAAATACCTCTCGATGGGCTCGTTGCTATACTGGTCCCACTCGATCTGCAGCAGGTCGTCCTCTGTCAGGTCGCCCATGGCTTGGCAACCCGATGAAGGGTGCTTGGCGAGCGAAGCACCGACCGCGCGAGAAGCAAGTGACCTAAGCAGCACCTTAGTTCGTGAACTGTGACGTCGAGTGGAAGTAGTATGAGGTATGTGAGAATGGTGGAGGTGATAAGTGGAGTAGGTGTGGGTGTGAGTATGAGTGTGAGTGCAAGT